TTATTATTATTATTATTATTATTATTATTATTATTATTATTGCACCCTTCTAATATTGGGACTCAAGGCAGGTGGTTGTTAATTTCCATCAAGTCAACGTTGACTTATGAAGGCAAGTCCTCCAAGACACCCTGTCATCTGTAGCCTTGCTCGGGGACTGTAAACCCAGTGATGTGGCTTTAATAGTAACAGTAGTAGTAATAGTAGTAGCCGTCATTATCATGAAGGGTAAACCGCTTAGAGACTGCATAGCACGGTATGAAGCGGTATACAAATGAAGCTGCTATTGCCATCTAGGATCCTGGGTGTCAAAGTCCAAAACATCAAGAAGCACAGATTTTAGGAATAACTAGCATAGACTTTAAAGACCCAACAATCCTGCCAAGCTCACCAAGAAGAGGTGAGTGTTCCACCAAGGCTTTGAAGGTTTCTTATATGCATCGACTGGAACAGCTGACATTTGCATGCAACAGTTATTCCATGAATACAGACAAGCCACTGTTAATCATTGCAATATCGCCGAAGTGCAAGGACTTTCCACGTCTATTGACTACTAAGGGAACTAAGGATCCCTACCTAGGGAGGAAAAATGCCCGTAATTCTCCTGCGTGACTTCTTCGTACAGAGCCCTCTGGATGGGATCCAGCAGCATCCACTCTTCCTCAGTGAAATGCACCGTCACCTCCTCCAAGGTCACCGGAAACTGGAAAAAGGAAGAAGCAAAGGGTTTGAACAGGTAGGTCAGACCAATTCAGAGAAGTAAACATGGTGGTTTGGTGAGAAAGGAGATCCTTTCTTAAGGTGTATTTATCTTACACATCTGTGAAACACACACATAGAAAAAGAAACAGAGAGGGAGGACTCTTTCCTTTGCAGGAAGATTTGTACAGAACAAAATCTCTTAACTCTTTTTTCCCCCAGACATTATTACTAATTTTTAAAATGAATAATCTAATCTACAATCAAGATCCAATGGGCCCTCAGTACCTGCTGGGATTTAGTTCCACAAATCCCCGTGGATACCAAAAATCTGTGGATGCTCAAGTCCCGTTATATAAAACTGGGGTAGGAAAATCGTGTTCCTTAAAGACAATGGTAAAATGGATTTTCAATATATATATAAAGATATATTCCTCCCCCCCCAGCTGTGGATGGTTGAATCCATGATGCAGAATCTGTGGATCCATAGACTATAAATGTACGTTCAGAAAGTAAACACAGAAAAGAAAGGATAAAGGAGGAATAAAAAGATATAACTAATGCACAACAGGGCTCTGATCCCCTAATCCTGACTATAATGAAATGTTATTCTACTATTACAGATCTATCTGAATAATCCTACTGCGATTACTAAAACCGTAACCACAAATTAATACATTGCTGGGTTTCTTTTCGCTCATAAAATCCCGAAATGATTTCCAATTTTTATTTTTTAAAAATCTTCAATTGGCCTATCTTTTAGAACCAACATGAATTTGGCAATCTGGGCTAAACTTGGCAACCATAACAATCCATTCTTCCCTCGGCAGCTTTTTGGTCTGTTTCCAAGATCATGCAAACAATATTCTTGCTGCTGGTTGTTATATATCCAAGAAGCAATCCACGTTTATGCTCATTCTTTCTCCACAATGCCCAGCAAAAATATTTCCATTCACGTTACAAAATCTACCTTTAGAATATTTTGGATGAGCCTATCCATCTTAGAGTAGTCAACTTTTTTGCCTTCTTATACGAGTCCACCACATCAGAAAAAAGGACATGCCAGTTTGGCAGAGTGGTTTGAGCACTGGACTAAACTCTGGAGACCAGGGTTCGATTCCCCGCTTGGACATGGAAACCCAACAGGTGACCTTGGGCAAGCCAGAACACACTCTCTCAGCCTCACAGGACGGCCATGGCAAATCCCCTCGGATGAAACTTACCGAGAAAACCCCACGATAGGTTCTCCTTAGGGTCGCCCTAAGTCGGAAACAACTTGAAGGCAAACAACACAACACACAACCTTGTCTTGACATCCCCAACTCTGGTTTGACTCATTCTGAGACACTTCCGGCAGCTTATTTGGGGTTAGAGACCATCCGTACACCATCTTCAGCCCAACTCTTATCTCCGTGAAACCTTTTCCTACCTGATCCGACTGAATAGCAAGTGATTTGAGTTCGCCATAGAGAGAAGATGGCTGCGAAGGAACCTCCAGCGATATTCGGTTCTGTCTGACTATCCTTCCATGCCCTGCAAGAAAGATAGAAGATCACTGTTATCTATATCACCGTTTGAGCTTAATATAACTTTATATAGTCGCCCGTCCATTCTTGCGGACTTCATGTCCACAGTTTTATATATTCACGGAGGGGTGACTCCCCCTTTAAAATAATGGGGTGCACTCCCAAGGGTGCGTGCCCCATTCAAGCCTATAGGGCAGCGGTCGGCAAACTACGGCCCGTGGGCTGAACCCGGCCTGTCGAGGCCTTGTAACCGGCCCGTGGCCGGTCCTGCCACCGCCGCCGCATACAATGCAAGGCGCCATTTTGCTTTCCAAAATGGCGCTCGTGCACGCATGCGCACGACGGCAGTAGTAGTGCACATGTGCACGTGCACACTCCCCCCTTTGGCCCACCGACGATCGTGGGACAGTGGAACCGGCCCAACTAACAAAAGGTATGCTGACCCCTGCTATAGGGCTTGAATATTCACTAGTCTTCATTTTCACAGGGGGTCCGGAATGGATCCCCCACAAAAAGAGGGCCAACTGTATACTCAGGTTGAGACTACCCTGGCCAGAATACACCGATAGCAAAGAATCATAGAGTTGGAAGAGACCCCAAGGGCCATC